CACAATTACGAGTCATTGTCGACGGAAACCCATTCAGAATCACCGAGAATACTCTCAGTTCTGTAACCGACATCAAGTCGCATCTGTGGCTCTCCGGACGGCGATGTTACCAGTCTTTGCAAAACTGTGTTTCTAAACGAAACAGGAAAGAGAACTCTTGTCCTTGCAGACCTTGTAACTTACAAAGTTTTGTGTTTGCCATCTCCGCACGTGTGGTTTCATAGAGACCATCTGGTGAACAAAGAAAGCATGTTGATAATTCCACACAAAAAAAAAAAAAAAAAAAAAAAAAAAAAAACTGCAAACTACTTTGCTGAAGCAGAGACAATATAATTTCAACCCATGCACTTCGTATGTGGAAATGAAGCCGATACAGCCCTGTGGAAAATTTCTTGCAGGTGCTCTATTTTCTCCATCGACCTGCACAATCCTTCATTACTATTCCATCTTGCAGCCTACATTTGTTCGCTTTAAAGTTGATGTCGTTGAGAATGTTTTGTGCAATCTGATGCACATCTACACCCAGTTTGTCAATGTGATGAAAGACCCTTCCGAGCTTGCGTACAAGCTCAAGATTGTATCTCCCACCCAGTGTCGATAATTCTATCGTTCCTCCATGTTAGCTATTACTAGTCCACAGCAACATACTGCACTAAACTCTTGATTCCGCGAGTAATATTCGATGAAAGACAGTTAAAAACACATTACACATACTAATATGTGAGTCACTATTTTGTGTCCAGGTGATTGAAAGCCTTCACTACAGGACGATAGCTGCATCATCATCACCATCATCTTCATCATCTTGGATCCCAGCAACTTGAACTTTTCACACACTTTTCGAGGTGCTCACATGAACTACTGACCCTCTTTGCATCGAAACAGTGGCCAGACATGAGATTGGAATGCCGAGAGCCAGAGGTGACTAAATTTGGAGGCTGCATCGGAAGGGGCGAAAGACAAAAGCTATTAGTTCGGTGTAGTCGATGATGCCGAGATGGAAAAAATGGAAAACCAACAAGTGGGTCTCCTTTAGCAAAGATGCTGCAGCGCAAACCATGCTGCAACCATATCCTGGAATGCATTTTATCCTGTTTCTGCAACCATCCTGGAGCAGAAACACGCTTTTTTTTGGCTTTTCTTCTGGATGGCTTTGAACTGTCTCATCCTCTCATCACAGCCAAACCCCCTTCTTTGCAACACACACACACACCAAAAGATAAAAGCTCCAAATAGGAAAGATAAGGTCTGGATTATTCATTCAGTGCTTGAGATGTGACCCAGAATGAGATTATCGTCTCCGGGATCACCTTCTGAGGGAAACCAAGTAAATCTTTTGATATTAAGAATAGTGAGGATACAGTGAATTCTACTTCACACATTGTGTGTTCGTTAATTTAACATAGGCAGGTTTTTGTTCAATTTTTCTGGTTGATGTTCGGATGGTTGTGCTTAGTTTGAGGTGGTGTTTGTGTGTGCACGTTGCACCCAGATTGCATGGTTACATGCAGTGATGCAATTTAGTACCACAATAATGGACTTGAACAACCAAAGTTGCATACTTTTTTGAGAAAATGAGAAATGCGTGAGTAAGACTAATAATATGCATTTCAATATTTGAAAACTCTTGAAACAACTATTTAAAGAAAACCGTAAGCACTTCTTCCAACACAACCATCTGAAATCAATACCTTTGCAAATATGTGTGTGCATATATATATATATATATATATATGTACACACACGTAAGATCTATTTGTTCACAAAAAAGTTAAAAACATGTTTAAATTTATAAAAATTATAAGTTTTAATTTTTCTCTATAATTACATTTATTAATTATTCAAAAAAATGGCATTATATATATATATATATATATATATATATATATATATATATTAAAACATATTCCTATAAAATTACAACATATTCCTATAAATATAAATATCATATGTCTCCAAATCTAAAAAAACCTATCATATTGTATGTGGAGATTATAAATGTGCATATATATATATATATATATATATATATATTATAATAAAATTTGTTTAATTAAATTTTGTTCTATGTCATCATATATTTATCTAATTTAATCATAAAAAGTGACTCAAAAAAGGTAAGTTTGGAGTAGATTGTACAATTTATCACATAAGAATTTATACAATAGTATTGTCTCCTATAAAATGCTTCAAAAAATAAAATAGAAAAAATATTTATATAAAGATTAATTTAAATAAAAATAGAATATTTATAAGACATCTTTTATGATTTTTAAAAGTTATTGATTTTTTAAAGATAAATCGTTTATCAATTATTTTATATTCCAAATCTATAATAAAATACATCTAAAGTTTATACCATTAATTTAGTTCATAAATTACTTGATTAAATATAATAATACATTATAATTATTTTAAAATTGATTAAAAATATGTTTTTTCAAAAAAAATCTCATCAAGAAAAACATTTAATTATTTTTTTTCCTTTTACATTGCCTATACAAAAAGTAGACTTGAACAAAGATTTATACAAATTTGGCATTTTAAAGTTCGAGGCAATGTTTTTAGCTTCTCTTATAATCATCTATGTCTGTTTTTTGAAGTCGCATGAAATAACAACCAAAACTTAGTATATTCTCTTTTAAATATTTTTTTAAAATATAATAAAATAATATAACTCATACATTGATTAATATTTATCATTTTTTTATGTTTTTTTAGTTTTTTTAATAAACCATATATATATATAGAAAACTTTATTATTTATAATTTATTATAATTAATAATTTTATGGAAATTTAGTGAAATTAAATATTAAATTGAGCATTAGATTATTACAAAAATTATTGTAGTTCATACTTCTTTATTTTTTGTAATATCCAACATCACTTCATTTGTAACAAAAAATAATTAAAATATGAAAAATAAACATAATAATAAATTTTCACCTCCTCATTTAAAAATAAATATTATTTCAAAATTTATATTTTGTGAATATATATGTAATAAATTATTCCTTATTTATTTTAGTAAATGATGATTAAAATTTAAATAATATTATATATATTATTTCAATAAGAAACAAGAACTAATAGTACTATAGTAAAATCACATTATTTTTTATTTTAAATTTTACCTACAAAAAGTACAGACTTTTGGAGTAAGTTCTTTAATTATTTAATTTACTTTGCACATTATGGCTCAAATACACATTATTTTTTTATGTTTTATAACTTAAACTTATTGGCTATAGAATAAATTACTCTATAAATCTATAATAGACATTTGTTTGTAAATCAAAGCTTCAAAACGTTACTATATGTAATGCAAAGATATATTTTGTTTAACTTCATGAAACCTCAATACAAAGTTTACAAAAGCTTTATACAAGTTAGTAAAGAAACTAAAAAGATCTTCAAACTTAGAAGCATAGTTGGAAACACCATGCTTTAATAGCCTTATGTAGGTCCTTACTTGATAAAGAAAAGTTGTTTTTTTAGAAGCCTTAACTTTTGGAAAAAGTATTTAGTACAAAGAAGCTATAACACAAAAAATAAATCCTTTTATTATGATTGTACATATAACAACTCAAATCTTGGTTGTGATATTAATTAGAAATATAAAATTTAATTTTTATAATTTTATAGATATTCTTAGCAATTTCTTGATCCAATTTTTCAATCTTTTGTAGAAATCACCTCTTAAAGGTGGCTCCAATACAAACACTAAGAAAAAAAATTAATCATTTTATGTAGCAAAAAAACCAAAAAAGGAAAAAAGAAAACACACACACACACACATTTTATGTCATCTTTTCTTTTTATGACCTTTTCGGTTGATTTTTCTAGAAATAAAGCCAACTTAAAGAGACTTCTTAATTTCAACCGATCACAATCATTAAAATAATTGAAACATTTCGCTTTCTCCTCTAAACCTAATCACCCCTTACACCATGCTTTTCTCTGAAAGAAGTCTGATGGCAAGAAAGGATTGCACTAAGGTTCACCAGTCTACTTCACCGAGACCATCTCGCCGGTACCACAAAACTGCCGTGTCCACATTCATCCTGCCGAAGTGGGTGGCGAGAGTTGGTGGAGTATGACAGTTGACTTCAGACTATATTCCATTAAAGTGGGTGTGATGGTCAATGTAGCATTGCAACTGGGCCATTGTTGTGCACACCACTGCACACTTTCACAAGCCTTTATTGCCATAAATCTGCACAGTTTTTTGAAAAGATATCCAGTGCAGGCCTCATCAACTCACTTATATAAGCTAGCAGAAGAGAGAGAGAGGTAGGAGTGGCCTTGCTGTGGATGCATCATAAACCCTGAAGAATCCTCATCGAGAGAATGTGCAGTCAATGTTTCGGTATTCGTCCTCATGGATCTGCACAGGTAGCTGTGAAGAACATAATATATTGCCCTTCCGGCCAGGAAGCACCCAATAATGTAATTCAAAGCGATGAACAGCCAACATGAGTGCGAATGATGAGGAAGCTGCTGATGCAGGCAGAGTTTGGCTGGATCCAGTCTATCCCAGGCTGTGAAACTCCGTAATCGCTAACTTACTGGGACAGAGCTGCTTTTTGAAGTGTCAACAGTTTACTGACACAACAATGTAGCGCACAAGCTAGCAGTTGCAGCTACGGGACACTGCAGTTCGAGGTACCATCAATGCCGGCTGATGTAATGCGGTTATCCACAGGCAGTGTTGAACTGAAGCCCACATTGGCAACATCAGAAGATTGACACCTAAGTGTAAGATTGTTTGAATCTTCTACTTCTCACTCATGTGCAGCAAAAAGGTCTGACAGCCAAGTCCATGTTGATTTGTTTCATAATTGATACAGAGGCATTGCTGAATAGAAGTAATAAACGCTATCGGGAGAAAAAGAGATACTATGTTGTGAGGTAAGATGATTGGGAGAAATGGTATGAAAGAAAAAATTAATAATTTCACGTGAAAAACTTCGAGAAAACAGTATGTACATCTATCTGTGTCAGTGTTTGCTTCTAGAAGCGCACATTGGGCATTTTTAAATTTGTACAAGTATACTATAAGAACTCTGTCCAAATCAATGCAGCGATTTTTCCGCTGGGTCAAGCCCATGAAATGGATTATTGATCTTCACAAATAGAAAGAGAAATAACAGAAAAACTGAAACCAATGATGTTGAAGAGGCCCAATGCTGAGTCTTGGTTTGCAGAATGCACCAAATAGCACCTTCAAATGATTGCGCCACTACAGCGCCCTGAGCTGTGGAGAGGATAATGTGATGAATTACTCATCATCTCCATCGCTAAAGTGAAATGTATCGATGCCGTCACCATCGACCATCTTGGCTCTGTTGCAGTAAAGAGAATGATTGACAGGTGCTCCAACCAAAGCTTACCACAAAAACCACACCTCTCATTCTTCTTGTGGAGTTTCCGATGGTGCATCTCAGTGGATGTGGCTATTAGTGAGTGTGTTCAGCTTGATTCAAATGCAGTCCAAAATGCTCCATGAGATAATCATATATCTACATGGAGTACCACGACATCTGACAGGTTCACGGGGCAGAGCAAATATGCGTGACTTGGATGTCTAACTACGGGAGCAGGGCATACCGCTCAAGAATAAACTTGCCCTCTTTGTACTTCTGGCTCTTCTCATAAGCCACTTCCTGCTCACCACAGATAAACCGTATTTAACACTTTATCTTTGAGAAAGACACACACCCGAAAAAGAATTCCAAACTGAAAGACTTGAAAATTTCAGTCCCCAAACAAAATCAAAAGGATGGAACTCTACCAGTTGCATTCACGTCACAACAGACATCTCCAGAAAAGATTAGAGATCATTCCAAAAGGTGTTTACCGAAACCAGGTAAAAAGTGCCATCCTGAAGTTACTCACTATCGAATATGTCATGCAATGCACCCCAAAACTTGTAAATAAGGTCTTGCTCCTATTTTGACCCCACAGAAGAACTACGCAAAGAAATTTCCACTGCAATGTTTGATTCTTTCCCCAAGTGTTCCAAGAATAAGGGGCAGCATGAATGTTCACTGAGGTTTGATTAATACAGGACTAGAGATAGAGGTATGTTTAAGAAGTAATACATATTTCCAACCCACAACTTGCTGGCAACTGTTGCAGAAAATATCAGCCACCGCATGCTTGCCGGTGGTCATCATTCGATCCTCTAGTGGCCCGACAGAGACGTTCACCCTGCAATTCAAGTCGAGCTCTTCAGACTACAAGATATTTCTGTAACCGAGTTTCTCATCTAAAAAACATTCAAAAAGCAAAGAAAGAAAGTCTTAAGAACCTCTCACTTCAAGCTTCTTAAATGTGCTTACTGCCAATGCAAGTCTGATTTAATTCTCCTCTACACATCTTGGGTAGGTATTTCAAAATCACCAATGTGACACGTAAAGAAACGGTTCTTGAAACTTCTGAAACAAAATGTGAATGATGATCCCATTTACTAGAGAAATGCAATAATGCGTAGGTTACTACGACGCCAGGCATTAAGAGGGGATAGACAGTTACACAGTGTTAAAAAGGTAGGCTTTCCCGTGCCGACAGTGAAATGACTGCAAAAAGAGCGAACGAGACAATGAAAACATGGAACAACAAATTTTAGATGACAAGCGTCAATCTAAAGCATTCAAACTTGTACCGTAAGAGCGAAGAAAACCAGATGTCAAAATTGCAAATATCGAGACCAGGTGAGTTATAATACAGGAGAGACCGAAGAACTCAAGAAATTGACTTCCACACCTTCGAGACCAGCTCATCACACTGAGCCAAGTGACTGCGGCAATGTCGACAGCTGTAGATGCGCCCATCCAACTGTATCAAGTACAACCTGCCCATGGTGTCCCCTCTCCTTGTCTCTTGAATGCACTTAAAATTACAAACAACGCACCCTACAGTTCGCACGATTGAAATCCCATCCCTATCAACTGCAGAAAATGCCATGAAGGAACGACACTTTCAGAAAGACATTTTTCAGTGGGTACATTGCACTTCAGCAATCACATTCTGCAGAACCGAAGTACACAGTAACTCCCTGTGGCTTGTACTCACCCTTCAGATCAATCTCACGCAAGATGGACTGCCATCTTTCATTGGAGACAACTCACTAAAAGGCAATAGCGAGACAACACACAATAACGAGACTGCAGCTCTAACCAACAGGTATGACTAAACTACTGTACAGCCATACAGAACCGTCATACACAGACTAGAAAGCACACCCACAAGAACCCCCATACACTGCAAATCAATCATGCCTCCACGATTGGATCAAAATCTGGATCAGATACGAGAATTCACAACGAAAGAGACGAGAAATCGTTGCCATTGACATCCAAAATATTTACCATCACGACATGGACCAAAAACTACTCAGAGACAATACATAGAAGGACCAAGAAATACGCCAAAGCCCAACAAGCGCCGGACGGAGTGCACGCTAAACATTCGGCCCCGAATTGTACAATGTCCATGAAATACGTACTGCAAACTTGAGCTTACAGTTCAAGAGCCAAATGGGGTGATAGCAAAATCGCGAGCATATCAAAGTGGAGATTCTAAAAGTAGAGACAACGCACGTTTGGCATGCAAGAAACTAATCCTATCACCACATGTATCTGAGAGGTACAGTCACCAAGGTTCGAATATCAAGGACACGTGATAAAGAATAAGGATAGTTGACGAACTTCCCTCACAGCGTACAATTGTCGCAATCGATAGAGCGTTATGAGAAAATTCACACTGACAATCGATAAATTCTTGCGTAAATGCAAGGCCCGAGATGCAGTTATATGCGTACAAACCACGTCAGTGGAACCTCTCGGGGTTGGCGATGAGGATTTTCACGAAGACCCAAACAACCACGCTCCCCAAACAGACTATGACTACTCATATTGACGCAACCAAAGGCAAACAGACGTGTATACAGGCGACGCCCAATTTCCTTCTCCAAAAGCCGTGCGAGAGCATAACAACCAACACATTCAAGTTGAACGCGAAGATCGAATTTCGCGCGCATACAAACCGAACTTAATGCCCACCAAATTAAGACCAAACATGAGAACTGGATCCAACCAACTAATTCACAAACTTTTTACCCACAAAACGATCAACAACCTCATCTCAACACACACACACTCATACACCAAGCAGGCATCCACACACCCACCGAACACTCAAATGAGACGAACCATCCGAACCTGAAAATCACCCGAAAATCCGTATCTGATTGCACCTCCCACGTCTCCTCCCTCCCCTTCTCTCACTCGCTCTTACTCTCTCTCTCTCACACACATACACACATGCACTTCTCTTCGAACGCTCGCTCCACAACACACTCCACTACAGGCTAAGGTGCTTGCCCACCACGCAGAAACCAAGACAGCACATAGCGAAGGAATGACAGCAGCTCTCCGTCTCAAAACGAGAATTACAGCCGCCCAGAAGGCAACTGATACGGAACAACAGCGCGGCAGAAAAGGCAGGCGAGCGAGACCAGGATGAGAAGCGAGGGCAAAGGAGCGGAGAAAGCAATAAGACACGCAGGGGAGTAGGGCCTGGACTGTCTGTGCAAGGGCCACCCAAGCAACCGAGGCACAGACGAGGCCAGCAATAGCCTCGTAGGCACGCAGGCAGGCAGGCAGGCAGGCGAGCGGACGGGCAGGTGCCCACACGCACGCACACCCACGCCTACGCAACTCCTCCTCCTCCTCCGCTCCCACTCTGCGTTCATCCACCTCGCATCATCAATCGCCTTTTTGCACCCGATTCCCCCTTTGTTTTTTCACCTTTCCCCACTCCCATGCCCCCCACATCCTTTTGACGATGCGCCTTCCTTGTCGGTCCCGGATTCCGTTCATCTGCATAAAGTCGGTCTGCTTCGTTCGTTGGAGCTCTCGCTCCAAAGCACGTTCGGAGGTCTAGTGGTTCTCGCGTAACCCTTTCGGAGGCACCCGCCATCACTACCACTACTACTACCAACACCACCAGTCCAGTCAGCTCGCTTCAGGCCATGGAGCGTCGCCACGGATTGCACATTCGGGCAACACGGACGGAATGGCGGAAGCAGTCAAAAAGGTGGGAGGAGCAAAACCCGAAAAAGTAAATGGCTGCGGTGGCGTCACGGTGGGGAAGGGGTGTGTAAGCCTGCGGGCGGAAGGCGCTGCGACGGCGGTGCTTTAGGCGGACTGCGTTGGGAAGTCACCCCAAGCTACCCCCCAATGGGAGCCAGGCCCGTTGGTTGGGGCCTTGACGTCACGACACTCGGTGCATGCCCACCCCCCCCCCTTCTCTCCCCTTGTGCGCCATGTTGCCTTTATTATTGCTCTATCATGCATGCAACATCTCGTGGGAACAATGGCTGATGTGATGAAGACGAAACACCATATTCACTGGTACTTGAGTTTGCATGTTTGTAACTGTTGATTACTTTTTCATTGTGTAATTCGTGTATGAGTGAAATATTCATGCATTGGTTCTTAAAATGTTACAAATGTTAGTATACAACAATCTCAATTGTAGTGTGTGTTATGCACTAATCCAGATGGAAATAATGTATGAATTTATTGTTGTAAAAAAAATGAGCTTTTTAAACTAAGATTCTTATGTATTAATTGTAATAGCCTCTTAAATGTAAGAAATCTCAATATTAAAATAAAATAAAATAAATCTTAATAACCATATGGCATCTTCAAAATAATGTATAGATTAAATCTATGTTTGAAAAGGATTCAAGATGTTTTTGGAAATAGGTATTATTTATCTGACATGTATAAATTTTTTATTGATTTTTAATCAAACATCATTAGCTTTTTATTTACTAAAGTATTATAAATATTATTTATATTACACCTTATTTTTAAAATCAGTTTAAGAAAACATAATCAAGTAACTTTGCGAGTTGATATAGAAAGAGACTAATTTATATAGTGTGTGTTATAAATTTGCATCTATGTTTTATACAAAGTTAGATAATGGATTTTTTGAACCATAAAAGCATATCTCATATTTAAATAAGAAGAAACATATCAAAGCTAAGAATTCGAAGTATGTAAATAAATAAAGTAAGCTCTACATTAAAGAAAGATGAGAAAAATAATGATAACAAAAATAAAAAATAAGAAAATATATTTATTTTAGAATAAATTAGAACAACTATTCTTAAAGATAAGAAAACTAAAAATTCTTAAAACTAAAAAAGAAGCAAAAAAGGCATTGTCGTGTATATAAAGATTGTGATATATAAGAGATTGAGTATCACAAAATTGACATGAAGTATGCAATCTAAACCAAATATAAATGCATAAGCAAGACAATTTTAAGGAAAGATGGAAAATCTAAAGTCTACTAAATTAAACTATCTCTTACACCACAAAAAAAGAATCCAAGAGTATAAGTGTCTATTAGAAAAATCCTAAAAACTTTATTAAAAGACTAATCACTATAGCCAAGTAAAATCTCACAAAAAAATCATTTTTTCTCTTTCAAAACTACTAACAAAACTTAACTTGAAAAGATTATTAAGTCAATGAGATTTCTCCATTTAAGTCTTTAAATTTTAGTTGACATTAATAATGGCAACTAATAAAAATACTAAATCAATGAAAATCCATAAAATAAAATAAAATTATATCAATTTGATTACAACATAGATGTAATCGACCAAGCAAAATCTCTTTTTTAGTGACATAAGAGAGTAATGTATTATGGATATATATCTGTTGTAATTATTATCTAAATAATATGAATAGGTAAAAGTAGATAAAAATAGATTAATTTCAAAATACCTTCTAGATAAACTTTCTAGAAGCTTTTTAGATATTGTTTTGACTTTACATATGTTTCTAGTTGATTAGTAGATTAGAAACTTGGTCAACAAGCTAACCACATACGACATGTATTGGTAGCTTGTGGAAAAAGTTAACTATATGGCACTCATATAAAAAAACTTGCCTTGCAAATTAAGATACGTTGTCGTATTATGTGCTTTCCTGCTCGAGAACGCGTCGAGCGTCTCGCTATAGAAGGTAGTATGGAGATTCGCCAATATTCAAGCAGTTTATCAGTTTTTGACTGTTGGAATACAAACAACTGCAAGAATACATCGTAAATCTATACGGATGCCCTTCGACTGCTTGTCGAAGTCTTTTTTGCCCCAGCCGGTAGGTCTCTAGACGTTACAGAGAACCCTGAACAATCCAAACTACTAATCTTCGATACCGCTTTATACTCATGATCTTGTATCCACTGACTGTCTTGTTAGATTAACCCAATAAATTTCATTCACTTCGCATATTCAATCCTATAGACACCCTTTTAACTCTTCATCACAGACGTAACTCGATTTCACAAAACAGTCAAGAGTAATCAAATCCACTTCATTAAAAATCCCGATTCACCATTACAACACTAACTTCAGTAACGATTGCCTCAGTCTTCCCAAAACCCTATGAAGAAAAAAAACCCAATTCTCTGTCTTTTTTTTCCACCCCGAAGCATGAAGCTAGCTCTCTGATTCTTCAAAAAAAACTCCCCAAAAAACTTATTCTTCCTCCCTCTCATTTCTTAACCTTAATTCTGAATTTCCTCAATCCTCCGTCTTGGATCCGGAATTGGCTCCCACCGTTAGAGCTTGATCCGAAATTGGCTCTCGTCATCAGAGCTTTCTCCTCCATTTTTATCTTTAAGAGATCTTTTTACCAAAAACAACGTTCCTTGAAATGGCATAGAGAACAGGACAGCCTGAAACAGAATCGAAACCCCGTAATCGGGACCACATTGAGTCGCTCGACCAATTCAGGTCTCATATTGGCTAAGAGTCCAGTAGTAAGACCCGGATGTTTCCGAAATTGGATCAAATTGGTCCTTTGCGTCAGATTGGCTGAGGCCCGTAGTAAGACCTGGATTTTCCCGTAATTAGACTGCATTGGGTTGCCCGACCAATTCAGGTCTCATATTGGGTAAGAGGACCTGGATTGGATTCTTGAAATTGGATCCAATTGGCTCTTCAAACCAAGCTCACCCGTCATGTGAATTGGTCCTTTCTCTTCCTACTGACTCCCGTTATTGGAATCGAACAGAGCATTTCAGTATGCCCCGGCTGACTGTAACGGGGTGACTGAACCTGGCCACTCAGTATTTGCACTGGAGTTGGTCGTTGCTCCCAATATTCGAGGTAACTGAACATTAATAAAAGTCCCCTTTCTTTATGTTTTTACGGTATACTCGTGTTACAACACGACAACGTATCATGCAAAGTCAAGACATTTTTGGAGGTCCTATAGAATGTTGCTACATAGATTCTAAGTAGATTATATATTTAGATGGAAGAATAAAGTTTTCTTCATTCTTTTCAATTCTTTTTTTGCTTCTAGTCTAGATTTTCAAGAGTCTCTAATTTTCTTGTCTTTTCGTAATTGTCATTTCAATTTTTTTTAATTTTTTAACATACATAATTTTTTATTTCTATTTTTTCATATTTCTTTGAAAGAATCTCACTTATTTATCTACTTTTATCAAGTTCTTTTCTTTGAAAAATAGACAAGAAGATACTTAGAATATCAAAGTTTTATCTTTTTTAAATTAAGAGTAGATTATCTCTTTTTCTTGATAAGACTTAAGTATATTAGAAGTTGTAGATTACCTTCATCTAAACTAATATTGTCTTTAATATTTTTTCTTTGTTTTTAAGTCTTCTCTTTTATTTGTCTTGAGCAATATCAGACATCTTTTCTTCTTTAAGTATTATCAAAGTAGAGCTTCTTGAAATGAAGAATGCAATGGCACAAATGCAAGAGTAATTGAAGGAGTTAATGCTTGTAATGTATCAATTAAATTTATGGCTATAGGAAGCAACAAGAATGGCAAAGAACAAAGATTTAGAGATGATTGGAGTTGCTTCAACATTTGCACCAAATCATGTTCCTATAGTCGAATGCCTTTTTAGTATTAAAAAATCAAGGGTTGTACTACTCAAAAAGTTTGATGGTAGAAGATCCAAGTTTTGAAGATTTAATAATCAAGTGCAACTTGTGATTGAACTTCAACTTTAAAGCTATCCAACTTGAGGATTGCAAGTTACATTCATTAGTATACTCCTTTTAGATTGAGCATTATCATGCTCTTCATCTTTTTTTAAACAACAAGATCTAATATTAGATAATTTGGAGGCTTTTTTGATGGAATTTTGATCCAT